AAGTCTTGATATTAGAGAAGACCTTTCAGTGATGGTGTCTGGCTTCACTCACTGTGTGCAGGTAGGGATTCTGGGATGACCAGCATCTGGATCCGAGTCATGGAATCCCATTTGTGCAGTGGGGTCCTGGAAAGCATTGGAGACAGGTCAGTCCACCACTGAGAGATTCAGTGGACCCTCAGGAACCTGGAACACCTGTCATGAAAGACCAAAAGCCATAAATGTAGGACATGGGGAGGGCTGGTGGCAGGAAGAGCATCACCAGGGATTTGTTCTTGCAACAACAGGGGATTCCTGTCGTGAAACTCCGTGTTGCTCTTGCAGCAGTGCTTAGGCATAGGGCAATGTTTGTTAAGGTCCCTGGTTTGTGAGGAAAAGGGATGGTTAAAATTCAGCCCTGTGAATACAGCAGTCTCCAAGGATGAGAGGACTGCTGGGCAGTGGCGTTGGAGCAGAGGGAGCTTTTGGGGCCCAGTTCTTTGTTAGCTGTCCTGGGATTTGGCTGCTGCTGTTTGGTGGATGAGCTGTTTGCTGCTCCTGTGGCAGGAGGCTGGCAGTGGCTGTGTGGGAGGGAGGAGGGCCCAGCACCGGGTGTACTTTGCCCAGGACTTTAGCATAGGTGGCTTGGGAAGCGGGATAGAGCCTTTCCTGTGCTTCGGACCTTCCTCGGATCACGGATTAGTGCTGGGGAGAGCAGGCGTGTAAGTGGGGAGTGGAAAATGCTCAGGGGTCAGACCTTCCAGGGCTTTGTCCGGCTTGGCTCTCTGGGTTGGAAACCAGGGACTCTGTGGGTGTGCTGAAACCAGTTTTCCTCGTCCTGCCTGCTCCTCTCCCGGGATACCTCCCTCCTTCTGCCAAGGAGAGAGGTGCTTCCCTGATGGAAAACTTGGGGAATCGTCATCACGGTGACAACGCCTGTGACCCACATCAGGCTCAGCTGGGTCCCCTCTGAGGGATTTGTCACTTGGGGTGATGGTCATAACAGAGTTCAAGCTCTGTTTAACCTTCTTAAAGCACCCTCAGTGTGTCCTTTCCCTGAACGTGCCTGTGCCTGCTTCCCAGTGTGCCTGTTTCCCTCTTGGGGCTGGGTATGAGGAAATGGAAGCAAATGCTGACATTGCTTAAATATCTGAAGTTCAGTGCTTTTATCTTACAAATAAAATAATGCTTTTGTTACTTTTCCTTTTAGGAAGTGCTTTACAAAAACATTGCTTGTGTTAATGCAAAAACAAAGCTTCTGCAGCTTTACTGAAGCCTACCCTGATCTGGGAGGAAAATGCTTTGCTCTGTTGCTTTGTGCAGACTAATAAACCCTTTTGACTTGCAGATCTCTTGCCTCTCTGAATTAAGCCTTGTATGATGCAAATCTCCCTTTCAGTTACCCTTTTGCTTGTACCTTGATTTTGAATCTTTCCTTTAGATCACGGCTTGCATGACATTTTTCTTTCTTTTCCTTTCCTTTTGCTGTTTGCAAAGACTCTTGGGAGGATTTGACAGATGTGGTGGAGCAATTGCGCGATGATTCCGAAGGTGCGTTCCACACATCTCACCCCTCTTGTCTGTGCCCATCATTGCCTTCTGCCCTGTCACTCTGAGCCTGAGTGCAAAATGCACTTTTCCTTTCCAGAGCCAATAGCTGTGCCTTTCTGGCCTTTTCTCTATGTTGCTTAAAATAAATGTTTCAAAGTTGGTTGTTTTACTATTTGTACTTGAAGGGGAGGTAGAAAAAGTGAATCAACAAAGGCTAGTTGCCTTCTACTAAATGCATTCAGAGGCAATGTTTTCCTCAGCCTGACAGAAACACAGCTTAAAAGATTGCAGCAATATATGGAAGCTGAATTAAAAAAAATAATTCAGAAATAACCCTGAGGATTCAGATTTTCTCAAGTATTTATATTTACCTACTCGAGGCTTGACAAAAGTGACTCTAGAACTTGTAATGCAAAATGTCCATTAAAACTCGTGCAGTACTAAAAGGGAAATTTATTTACGGTGTTTCTTGCTCGATTCCTAAAAATGGTGTGAATGTGAAATAATTGAATCCCCAATTTAGGGAGCAGTCAGGCAAATTGTTAATTAGGTGAAATGCTGCTGCTTGGGGTTCAAGTGTTTGCAGCACAAAAGGCTGATGTTCTGATGCACTGAGTGCACTGATCCCTTGCTGTCACCCTCATGGATGGTGCCTTTAACTGCTGTGCTGGTTCTGTGCCTGGGCTCTGCCTGGCAGCCTCACAGGCACAGCAGCTTCTCAGCCACTGGGAATGTTCTCCTCTCTCCTGGCACAACAGCCCATTCTGCTTCCCAGCCAAGGGCATCTCCAAGGCAGGCTTTAAGAGAAAGATTTGAGACTTCCTTTTTTTTCATAAAATATTGTGCTGATTTTTGTGTTTATTTTGTCAGGTGGGATAAATTTCCCTGTCATACAGAAGCAACCTTGCCAAATGTCAGGCTGCTTTCAGTTGGTGTTTTTGCTGTAAGATGGATTCAGTACCTGGAGAACCTTGCTGAAATGCAAATGAATTGGCATTGTTTTCAGCAGGTTTGTTCACTTCTCCAGTGTTTCATCGCTCCCTGCCTTTGATCAAAGTTACAGCTTTATTTTGGTTTATTCTTCATTGTTTTAGAGTAAATCATTGAGGAGTGATAAAATATATTGTCACCAGCAGAAATACTGAGACCACAGTCACAGCTTAACCCTTTGAGGTCCTGTATTGCATTGACTTTTGCCTTGACTTTCAGGTTCTTGGGTACAGATTGGACCTTTCAAACAAATTAGAGGATTTTTTGGTGCTTTTGGAGACATCTTCAGGAAGCAGCTGGGTAGAAAACATGTCTGTTCTGTACGAGCTGCAGTATTTGAGTAGCAAAGTGTCTTGAGAGTTTAATTCCTTCCTTTGAAACCCAAACCCTGTGGAAAGGCAAAGTTCAATGGCTGAGGTTTTACTTTTTGAGCTTTGTGACACGGAGTGTGTAGGATAACCCAGGTAGAGGGTTTTCATACTCTAAGTTAATTGGTCTGCAAGGTGAGAATCTTGGATAAGCTGCGTATGCAGAACACAATTGCTCACAGCAGAGTAATGAAGCAGAAACCATTGATTAGTGTGATATGACAAATATTTTTCAATGCAAATGAGTTAATAATGGCAGCTAAAGGGGTGTTTTCCATGTGGCTGTTGTGTACAGCTCCTTTAATTCTACATTAGGGATTGATTTGCTCCTAGGTGGAGTCACTGTGGATGCCTGACTTGCTGCCCATCAGATCAATGACCTTGGCCAGTGAGGAACCATGATTAGAGAGGATGAGGAGGAGGAGAGCTCTGTGTCTGATTTTGCACTATTATACCTGCCTTTCTTCCTGAGTCTCAATTCCCAGTGATGGTGACTGTCAGCTAGACTGCAGGTCATAAAAAGGACTGCAAATCCAGAACAGGTTGTCTGCTCAGTGTGCCAGATTCATCAGCTTCAAATAGTAGCTCACTCACTGAATTCAGTCTTTGCACAGTGCAGTGCTGCTGTGAGCATTGCATTCCTACATGAATACTTGGAAGCTCTCTAAACTGTGAATGCCCAATCTCAGCCTTTTTGTAAGGTGTGAGCCAGGACAGTCAGTGCTTGGACAGGACACAAATAGCAAAAACCTTCAGGGGATTTCATGGCTTTGCTCGTTGGCAGGAGGAGGTTGGGAGGAGACAGTGGAATAACTGGCTGTGTTTGCCATTTCTCTGAACAAGGGGGCATTTGTCCATGGCAGCAGATGTGGCCTGGAGCACAGCTGGGCTCGTGGCTGTCCATTGATGGCAATTCCAGCTGGCTTGGTGCTGTCTGTGCACTCCCTGCTCCAGCACACACCTGCCCTCCTTCAGCTGCTCCGGGTGGTACCTCCTGGCGTGGTTTCAGGCAAATTTAGGGAAGGAGACATGGTGCTGCTTCACCCTGGAGATCATGGGGGACGAGAGGCCTTGTCCTGAGCTGCTTTTGCAAAGACTGAACAAAGGGGCTGTGGTCTCGGGTTTGGATAGCACAGCTGCCCCTGCCCTGCACTCTCCCTGTGCTGTGGAGTTTTCCCAGCCCACAGTGATGTGCACTTGGGTGTGGCCCTGTAAACTGTGCTCCTGGTTCTCTTTTTGGCTGGTGGGTGCTGACAAGGTGCCTCATGCTTAGATCTGTACCCTTAGGTTTCTGCTGCCAGGCGTAGTTTATTCACTTGAGAAGGTGGAGGTTGTTTCTAGCATCTGTGGCTGTTACCAACAGCCTTGGATAAGTGGGCCTTACAGGGATGAAACTGCCTGTGCCAGGGAACTGGGGCTCAAAAATTGGATGTGTGTAGGAAGTGTCAAGGTCTGGATGTTTATAATGTGGTAGAGGAAGAATATAGTTCTGGGAGACCTGTGAGTTTTGGGATTTAGAAGGAGCTGTCAGAAGGGCCATGAAGACCTGCTCCTTACTGTCAGCAGTAAAAACCAATGGTGTTGATAAAACAGAGATTAGTGGGAATTACAAACAGAGATGAAGTGTTACAGCCATGTTGTGGGAGAAATGCGAGGTGGGATACAGATACATTGCTGGATTAAGTGTGAGCAGGTCCGTGGTGGTCTTTAGATGGAAGAACAAACCACAAGTGGAGGGTTCTTACCAGTTTGTAGCTGGGGATGTGAGCTGGAAGAAGTGACAGCCATAACACATTGTCATAGTGTAAAGCACAGGGTTAACAGTAGGCTTCAAACTTCTCCTAATGAAAATTGGGAGCTGCTGTAGTTACTTGAAGTACTGAGGCACCCTCAGTGTGATACATTGTCTATTCCTATGTTGTAGCTTTGGCCATAAAATACTAGGTGCTGTTGATTTTTCTCCACAAAAGGCCTACAGAGTGCCTCGTGTGAAAGTGTCACGGCCCCAAAAATGTCCTCAAAGCTGAGGAACAAAAGGAGAAAGGTGGGATGTTTTAGTGTAATAAAAATAGCTTTTGTTACTCAGCAGAATTTTTCTTCCTTCTTTAACAGACCCCAATTACCTCATGGCTAACGAACGCATGAACCTGATGAACATGGCCAAACTGAGCATCAAGGGGTTGATCGAGTCGGCGCTGAATCTGGGCAGGACACTGGACTCGGACTATGCCCCTCTGCAGCAGTTCTTTGTGGTGATGGAGCACTGCCTGAAACACGGCCTCAAAGGTAACCGGCCTGGGAGAGGTCCTTGGGGCTGTTGGTCATGGCTGGGGGGACAAACAGCAGTTTTGGTTTCAAAACCTGCAGGAGAATGAGGAGAGGCTAAGCAGGGTCACTGCTGTGATCCCAGTGGACCTGGCAGGCCACAGGAAGGGAAAAGAACCTGGGGGAGGTGGAACATGGAGGTGCTGTAGGTGCTTGCCATGTTTGACACAGCGGTTCAGATGTCTCGGGTGTAACTCAGTGATCAGGGGTGAAACAAGCTCTCAGCAAACTTGTGACTCTTTTCTGCACTTCCCCATGCTTTAGGGACATGGTTCCTTGCTGGAGGAGGAACTGCAACCCAGAGGTCTTTTTTCTCAATAGCTCTGTCAAACCTGAGGGTTTGAGCTGTGTGCAGCTCATGGCTTGAAGCTGCTTTTAAAGCAGAGCATGTATTTAACTGTACAAGAGTCACAGCTCAAATTGCCGAGTACCAGACTGTTCTTCAGGTGCTGTCCTTGCCTGCTGGTAGGTGAAGATGAAAAGCAGAGGGGAGTGGAACCAGGTGCCTTCAGGGCCCTTCCCACCCAAACCACTCTGGGATTCCATGACACTAAATGCCTGCCCAGCAGCAGTGGCCCCAGAGGAACCTTTCTGGCAGCTTTTGGCTACTGTTTGTTCACTTGTTTGAGAATGTGTTATGTCAGCATGGGCCTAACAGCCTCATTTTTTGTCTCTTTGTTTTCTAGCCAAAAAGACTTTTCTTGGGCAAAATAAGTCCTTTTGGGGACCTCTAGAACTAGTAGAAAAACTCGTCCCTGAGGCTGCAGAGATTACAGCAAGTGTTAAGGATCTCCCAGGGCTGAAGTAAGTACACTCTTTTATTGCATGAATACATAGTATGGTTTTTATTGTGAGAAGGATCCTGAAGAAGGGAAGGAAGGGCAAACACAACTTTCAGGAATACATCTGCCACCTGCTGTGATTTAAATGGATCATTGCTCACCTATTCTTAACCAAGGATCTGCAGGAGGAGAGGACAGAATATATTCTTGCTGTGCTAAGAGCATGGGGACTTATGGACAACAGTGCCTATATTGCTAGCACTGAAGGAGTTATGATGTGTCAGGCATGGGAACAGCCTTTGCTGCTCATGAAATCAAACTGCAGAGGATGGGAATTAACAGGAAGGTCATGACAGGTTAAATAGTTTTGAGGCTGATGTCTGAGATGCTGAGGGAGGGTGGGGCTATTAGAGCTGATGGTGACTATGCCTTGCAAAGTGTCTGGAACTGTTTGTTTCTGGCCTTTGCAGGACACCTGTAGGCAGAGGAAGAGCTTGGCTTCGCCTGGCTCTGATGCAGAAGAAACTTTCAGAATACATGAAGGCCTTGATTAACAGAAAGGATCTTCTCAGGTGAGTGCTGGGCTTGCTCTCAGGTTAGGTTCACTTCTGCTGTCTTGTAAGATCTTGATCATCTTTGCCACCAAATGGTCAAGTATATGTGTGCTTTTTTTGAGAAGGGGTAACATCTGTGAAATGCAGAGCTTCCACTTAGCTTCTGAATTAAGCAAGAACACCGTTATATCTCCTCTGTCTCAAATATACATTAGAATTAATTCAGATTTTGGTTCTAAAGAGGTGATTGGGTGAAATATTTGCACAGAGGAGATACAACATTGTCTCACTGTAAAAGCCTGGCCCTGGGTTGATTTCTGACCTTGTCACTTCATTCCTACCTGACTTGGAAAAGCCCCCTCACTTGTCTCTCTCGCCTGTGCCCGGCAGTGAATTTTACGAGCCCAACGCGCTGATGATGGAAGAGGAAGGTGCCATCATCGCCGGCCTCCTCGTGGGCTTGAACGTCATCGATGCCAACTTCTGCATGAAGGGAGAAGACCTGGACTCCCAGGTACTGGGCATTCACTTAATGGTTTTGTTCTGCTCCTTTAAATTGGAAAGCTCATTAATTTTGTATAGCTTACTGGTATAATGGATCACTGCTCTAGTGCAGCAGGTATGATGTCGTAACTCTAAACTGTCACAACTGGAGACAGTGGTTTTGTCTCAGAAACCAAGAGTTCAATGTAAAATGCAAATTGCTTTTTCTCTAGGTTGGAGTGATTGATTTCTCCATGTATTTGAAAGATGGGAACAGCACAAAAGGCAGTGAAGGGTAGGTGCACACACACAGTTGTCCTGCTGCTCCTCTCTTGGGAACTTGTATTCAAGTATTCCAGGTTACCCTGTTTCTTTTTTTCCAGAGATGGTCAGATAACTGCTATTTTGGACCAGAAGAACTATGTGGAAGAACTCAATAGACATTTAAGGTAAGACATGATCTGTTGGCTCTTTATTATCTTGTAGAAGAAGAGAGAAAATGGGATTTTTAAAAAAGAAGGAATTACTGTAGGGCTTTTTCTCTTCAACAGTGCTACAGTAAACAACCTACAAGCCAAGGTGGATGCCTTGGAAAAATCCAACACTAAGCTGACTGAGGAGGTAAGTGTGATGGAAAATCATCTGATGCTTTGGCCTTTGGGAATCAGGGAGTAGTAACAAGGGAGGGAGGAGTTTATTCACATTTCTGGTGTACTGAATGATGGGAGTTTAGTGATGGAACTGGAATAACTCACCTGCCAAGCAATGTCACTTGCTGTTGCTACTGAGCATGAGGTGGAAAAACAACCATATGTTTACGTAAATTTGCAAGAAATAAAAGAGTGTCATTATAGATAAAATATTTAGTCTGAGCATTACAAATGGCTGGTACCTGAGGCATAGGTACAACCTGTGGTTTAAAATGGGTGTTGCAGCTCATTAGTAATGGCATATATGTAGTGTAAAATCTTTTGGGGTCAGTTCCCTGACAAAATGGGTGACAGGAGGTCTCACCTGAGTAGAATAAGTGGCTTCTGGTTTATTACCTGCACTGTGACGTGGTATCACCCTTGCTGGTGATTTTTTAAGCGACTTTAAACCACTCACTTCATGACAGCAGGACATGAGTTGGAGTGGTGACTGTGGTATTTTTTGGGTTTGGATTATTTAGCTGCTCAGTGAAGTCTCCCAGTGGTTCTGGTGACACAGGGACATGCTGGGAGTTGCTGTGAGCCAAGTGTCCTGTCCCTCAGGGTGGTGTGAGCTGCTCCTCCTGTTTGCAGCCAAATCACCCTTCTCTGAGCCCTAGAGAGGAGAAAAAAAAAGTGAAATACATCTTGGATAGGTTACTGTTGTGTTGTGTTCCCAGCTTGCAGTTGCCAACAACAGGATCATTACACTGCAGGAAGAGATGGAACGGGTTAAGGAAGAAAGTTCTTACATCCTGGAGTCCAGTCGGAAGGTCGGGGTGTGTGTATGTGCATGTGTGTGATTGCTGAGCCTTGGGGCAGGCCCAGCCCCAATTCAACCGAGGAGTCAGTGTTGGGAACACACTTTATTTCCTGGTGTATCTCACACAAACCCCGCAATAGATTGGAGTGGCTGCAGGTGGGTCCTGTGCAGAGGGAACAGATGGGCCTTGTCCCCAAGGAATGCTGCCTGGCTGTAGGCATGGAGCAGTGAGCGTGCGTGGAGCCGGGAGCTTCCTCAGTGAGCTCATGGCTGCCTGGGCAAGGTGTCAGGGACAGCAGGGAGGGGGTGGCAGGAAAACTGGGATGTAGTTGTGCTGTTTTGGCCTGAATTGTTGCACATTTGTTTTTCTTAGTGGTGGGGAGAAGCAAATACTGAGGAAAAGTGAGGGTTAGCAGTACATGATGCCAAGTGAACTGTGTCTGTTACCTCAGGTCACCAAGGACAGAACTGCTGACGGGCAGGCACTGACTGAGGCTCGGAAACAGCTGAAGGAGGAGACACAGCTGCGGCTGGTGAGGACTGGGGGGGCTCAGGGGTCACCCCAAATAGCTAAGACAGGCCCTGCCACTCAGAGCTGTTCAATACAGTGTGTGGGGAGAAACATGCCAGAGCAGAAGGGTTTTAGGAAACAAAATCTACCAGCTTTTCCCTAGTCCATTCCACCACAAAGATGGGTCCATGTAGAATTCCCTGACTCCCTGCCTCCATGCTGCTCACCTGGCTTTCATACTGGCCTCCATGTGGATTCCTTGTCAGAGGTGTGACTGTGATGCTGTGGCAGTGCAGCACGCTCCTGGGTACGGGTGGTGGGCAGGAGCCCCGGTGATGGGGCTTCTCCCTGGGTGCTGAGGGGACCTCCTGGAAGTGCTGACTGCTCCCTGTGTTCCAGGACGTGGAGAAGGAGCTGGAGGCGCAGATTGGGATGCGGCAGGAGATGGAGCTGGCCATGAAGATGCTGGAGAAGGATGTTTGTGAGAAGCAGGATGCGCTGGTGGCACTCAGACAGCAGCTGGACGATCTCAGGGCCCTAAAGCATGAACTGTCCTTCAAGCTGCAGGTAGGGAAGTAGTGAAATACAGGGGATTCCAGATAAAAGTGAGAGCTCTTGTGCTTTTACTCCTGCCTATTGAAAGGATGCTGGGTGTGGAACGGGCACAGGCTGCGCACACTTGTGTCCTGCTGCAAGAACATTGGAGTGTGGTGGAGGTTAAAGGAAAAGGACATTTCTTCTGGAGAAAAATTAATGATCCAGAAATGTGTGCATGAGACTGGGGAAAGCACCTTGTGTGGTTTGGGGGTGTGAAAATGGAGCTGTGGGAGCTTCTGTTGCAGTAGGATCAACAGTTGGAGGGTACCAGCTGTAGTTACTGTGTGATGACACCATCTGCAAAGAGCAACACGATGCTCAGAATAAATCCTAAAATCAACTTGAACATTGGCTCCTTGAGCCAATGGCTTGGTGCAAAACAGTTGAATGATATTAAGATATTAAATGATATTAGCAGACACTGCATTATGGATTATTCATATCTAGGAAGCTTCATGGATGATGGCATTGCCCTGTTGTGGGGTCCAGATGGAGCCTGCACCTGTGTGGCAAGACATTTGCCCTCACAATACTGACCTGACCATTTGCTTTTTGAGCACCTTTTCCTGCCTCTTTGCCTTTTGCCCTGTTGTTTCACGTGCTGACTGATTTATTGGGGCTTATTTGGCATTTACTGCTCCTTTTCCCAGAGTTCAGACATGGGAGTGAAACAGAAGAGTGAATTAAACAGCCGCTTGGAAGAGAAAACAAATCAGATGGCTGCCACCATCAAACAGCTGGAACAAAGGTAAAGCAGGAGGCTTGGACCATGATCAAACGCTGTGTCCTTTAGTGGGGGTGTCCCAGGGACCCAGAATGAGCCAGGGGAGAGTCCGAGTGCTCTGCTGGACAGAGCTGCCTGAGGAGAGCACCGGGAGCAGGACAGCCAAGCCTGCAGCAGAGGCCAGGCTTGGAGGGGCTTGGGTGTTCCAGATCTCTGGTTTTGGATAAAATCCCCCCAGTTGAACTATTCTCTTGATGATCCTGAGCAATGTGAGCTTGGAAAAAGTACTCTTGTGAAAGTGAAGGGAGGATGTGAGAGGGCAGCCTGGCACAGCTTTCAACAGAGTGGCTGGGACCTGGTTAATGAGCAGGGCATTGCACTGCATTAGTGCTCTCATTTGAGGGTTTATATTGGGAATGGCTCCTGATGAACAAGGTCACTGTTTGTAGAAAGTCTCTACTTGAAAATATGTTATGGTACCGACTCAGCTAATTGATTTGCTCTTTTTCTCTTGCTGTTATTATTTTTCCGTTTTCTCATCATCCTCATTCTGACTTATTTATACAGTGAAAAGGATTTGGTGAAACAGGCAAAAACCTTAAATAGTGCAGCAAACAAACTGATCCAGAAGCATCATTAGACATTTTTATGTCTGGCCACCTCACAGCTCTGACATCAGAACTCATTCATGAGGGGAGAACTTGAGAATTGCTAAAAGCAACTGTTAAAATGTTAAGTGTCACCTAAAGTTGATTTGGAATTTGCTGAGTTTTTAAAATCAGTGAGTTTTTCTGCCGAGATTTAGAGTCAGGTATAAAAATCCCAAACTTTGCCATTTAACCCATGTTCAAGTACCAAATGAGTTGGCCAATAAACACCCCAGGAAGGCACCGGGAGTGGGAGATCCGTGGCTCTGCCCACCTGCTGGTGCACACCCCGTACAGCAGCAGGAGCCCTCGGCGTGTGCGCGGCTCAGCCGGGATCACGTTGGCCAGCTCGGGAGAGTCAGCTCGTTTTCTGTGTTGCCCTTTTTTGTGAAGTAGATGAGAAAATGCATCCCTGGAAGTTGTTGACAGTAGTTGTGTGTGTGCCCCAAGCTGTTTCCTGTTCAATTCTGTTCTGTGGGTTCAGCCCCGAGTCCGAGACGAGCGGGCAGGACGCGATGGCCCGTCACGGCGAGGACCGGCCCTCCCGTAACCAGCTTGCCTGGATTCTGCCTTAGGGACGTGGTGGGAGGGTGGGGACTTTATCCTTCTTCCTTTAAACTTCATGTGTCCAGAATTAGTAGCTATAGGTGTCTTAGAGTAACACAATAGAGTGGTAAGTTCAGTGGAAACCTCCTTCTCTTTGCATTGCTTCTACCTCTGCCAGGAATCCCTCCAGACACGCCCTGCGGTCCTTCCCAAGCTAAGGAAGCTGAGGAGAGGTGTTTTGGGAGGTGTCTCCCCTTCTTAGAAAGGGAAGTTACGTGTTTTACAAAAAATAATCTGACCTTTCTTTAAAAGAAACAAACCCACACAAATAAAGAGGAAAGGAACCCAATGCGCAGCGATGGGGAATGGAGATGGTAATTTGGTCCTTGCCCTTTCCTTGTTCGAGTAGTTGGTAGTTGAAAGGGAAGAGTGGCCTTTTACACTTGTTTCATTTCCTTCTGAGTTTGCCTTGCTCAATACAAATGGAATTTGCTAAAGGAGGAACAGCTAAAGCTTGGAATCAGCTCGCAATAAGAGAAATAATTGCCAATTTAACACCCCGGTGCAAAACCTGAAGTAACTGTAGCTTGGACTATTATAAACTAATATACTCTGATCACACAAGTCCCCGTGCTGGCCTCTTGTGGGCCTTAGGTTATAAGCACTCGTAGAGATATTCTTTCATTTGGAAGATCAGATTTGGGGGTTTTCAGTGTTGAATAAGGGGTTTTTTTTCTCTGGTGAGACGCCTGTAGTAATTCTTTGATGCCAGTTCTCCCTTTGTCCTGTGGGATGGCACTTCTTGGGGCAGTGGGTGGCAAACATGACTGAAACAAGTGGGGAGGGAACACTTTGGTCCTTGCTGGTGTGGTCAAAAATCCATGGGGCTCAGCCTGGTCCCCCTGGATGTGAGCGTGGGCCACCACGTGGCTTATTCCGTGGGCTCTCAGCACAGGCACTGGCACAGCCCTGTTGGAAACCTCCCTGCCATGCCCGAGCTGCATGCTTGAACCTATAAACTCACCCTTCAGTAACCTGCTACTACAAACTCCTAACTGCCTGGAGAAAAAAGAATCCTAAGGAAAAGGTGGAAGCTTTGATCAAGGTATCCAAAGAGCCCATTAGTACAGGGAGCCCCCCTGTCCCTTCCCACAGTTCTGCTGTAGGAACAGGGGGTTGGGGCTGGTGGGGTTGGTGTCAGTAACACTGAAACCAGACAGAATTAAGGATCTGGCTGTTTCTGATGTCAGGCCCAGAGTGGGAATGTGTTGCTGTACCGATGCCTGGCGCTTGAGCCGAGTGTCAATCCGTGGGAGACCAGGAACCTGCACTAATTCTCAATAGAGTAGCTATAACCTATGTTGCAAGTTCCAGTTACCTGTGCAAAGCTGAAATGTAACGTACATTAAAATCCAATTGGACTTTAAATTCTGTGTACTTGAGGTTTGCTTTGGATCTGGATAAAAGTGATGTTTTCTGTTTCTCATCTAATGGCTGTAAACTGTAGTGATAAAATAAAAACTATGGAAAATGAGAGTTTCTGCCTGGTTCACCTCCCATTTTGCTTTGCTTTGAACTGTCTTTCTCCTTTCCATTGTTTTTACCATTCCCTTTTTTTTTTTTTTTGGCTTTACCTTTTCACTGGGTTTTTTATTTGTTGGTTAAACTCAGTCTTCCTCCCCACCATGGCTTTTGTTTTTTATCACAAGTTCATGTGGCTCAAATCCAGATTGCGACAGGCAGAGAAGGAACGGCAGCTGGCCCAGCAGGACAACCGGCTCTTCAAGCAGGAGTTTGGGGACAAAATCAACAGCCTGCAGCTGGAAGTGGAAGAGCTCTCCAGACAGCGGTGAAGAGATCCTTTTCCAACCTCTTTCCTGGGCTGTTCTTGCTGTGTCTAATGGAGAGTAGGAAAACAGGGGATGGAGTGGGAGTGAGGCAAGTGACAGGCTAGATGCCAACAGGAGTAACCCCCGGGATGAAAATCCTTGGAAAAAGCCCATTATTTAGGCACTGGCATAGGCTGCTGGAATAGTTGTGGCTGCCCCATCCCTGGAAGTGTTCAAGGCCAGGTTGGACACGGCTTGGAACAACCTGGTCTAGTGCAAGGTGTCCCTGCCCATGGCATGGGGTGGAATGAGATGTGTAAGGTCCCTGTCTACGCAAACCTTCCTGTGATTCTGTGCTAATTTGGGATCTAACAGTTATCATGGGCAGGGATGGAACAGTGAAACCTCTGCCTAGAGCAACCACTGAAGGGTGTGGAGCAAGGGAAGTGATCCTGGTTGTCAGTCTGACACACGCTGCTGTGATTTGTACTTTTTCCCTGGTAAAGCTGCTCTTGTTTTTGCTGGAAGCCAAACGGAGAGACCTTGTCAAGAGCCATCCCATTTTCCCCTGCAGTGTCATCACTCGAGCAGTGTCAGGGACACAGACAAATCCTCTTTCCTTAAAATAGAAGAGCATCTCCTCCTGCAGCCATGACGCATCTGCGGCTTGTCGCAAGGTCACCGGGGTGAATTCTGTGGGGGCATTGCTGGATACACGGGGGGGAGTTGTCCCTTCTCCCCCTCCTGGCCCAGCTCTTTGTTTCCTTTTTCACAAAGCTGCAGAGGCTGCTCAGACAACCAGCAAGTGGCTTTGGTCCTGGGTGTCTGTGGGTGAGCTTAGGAGGACACAGGCAAATGGGTCTGGTTTTGCATCAGATTGTGCCAGAATTAGATGAAGGACTTGGAGATTTTCCATCCTGACGTGTTATGGTTTAACACACTGCGAGACAGCTTGGGAGTCCAAGAGGCACTTCTCAGCTCTTAGTTGGGGGTGTGAAGAGAGGGTTAAACAGTTCATCAGCTCTCAGTGCCAACTGTCCCCAAACCATCCTTTAATCACAATTCCACCTCAATATTCCAGGAACCACCTAGAACTGGAACTGAGGCGGGAAAGAGACAGATGGTCCCACAGTCAGCAGTGTGGCCAAGAAAACAAAAAAGGGCCAAAGAACTGGCTAAGACAGGTAATGAGACTTAGGCTCTTGGCTCAGGTTTGAGGTGCAGTTTCACTTGGCTCGTTTGCTTTTCCTGAGCTTTCTCAGGCAATAAATAGGTGGTGTTCATGTGCCATGACCCAAGGGGCTTTGTAAGGGTTTTTACACACACTGAGCAGGCAGTTAGAGTTGTAATGATGTGAACTATGCAGTAACAGACGACTTCCACAGTTGTCATGTACTGCCACACTTGAGTTGCCTTCACTGGGCTCCCTGGGATGCTTCAGTGATGCAGTTATGTCTTTTTTCACCAATATTACACATAATTCCAGTGAAGTTTAAGAGCCCATCTCTGAAATGTGCAGTCCACTCTTTGTTCACAGCAAAAAGAAAGCACAGAGAACTGCTCCCAGGGGAGATTGGTGCCCAAATACTCCTCTGTGCCAAGGAGGAGCAGACCAGTATCCCAAAATAGCAATGCCAAGTCTCCCCTTGCATGTGGCAGGAGTGAAACTGGAGTCTTCCTCTAGTGTACCTGACGGGTGAATGTTTCCTTTTGGCAGGATGGGAAGGTCAAAATCCAGGAAGAAAATGCTAAACTGAAACAGGCACTGAGAGAGGAGAACAGTGTCCTGCCACACAGGTAGGGAAGGAAACAAACCTCATTTCTGCCTCCTTTCTGAAGTCCTGGTTCCCTTTCTCAGATTACTGTGCTGATGGGGAGTTTGGAATAGTCCAACTTCCCTTTCTGAGAAATATTTCCACTCTTCGTTGAGAGCTGCTTTTCCATAGCTCTCAAAGGGAAGGAGGAGGTTCTGTTGCTTGCCATCAGCACTTCCAGATGGGAAAGGCTCCATCTGTCTCTAATTTACCTTTGAATTGGTTTCTGTTGAAATCTGCTGCTTACTAATTTTTCTGACTCAAGAAACTTTGGTAAGCCAAGTGCAAGACCTTGGGGACTCATGTCCAAAGTATTTTTGGTGAGGGAAAGGAGAAGGGTTGGAGGATCAGTGGTGTTTAGAGCTAATAAAGAGAAGCTGTTGGAGAAAAAAACTTAAGATTTTTAAGATGGTTGTGTAAAAATGTGGCTCAGATTGCTTGTGTCCAACCTGAATATTAGAGGATTCTTGTTGTAGGGTTTCTGTAGTATTTGGGTTTAAATGTTAAAAGATGTTTTCAAAGCCCCTGGGCACAGCTCTGTGCTGAGGCCTTGGCTTGAGGATGGAACAGCCCATGGGAAGTGCTCTGAATGTCAGGGCTCTGGTGCAGCACACTGAGTCCTGAAGGGAAGCTAATCAGGAAAGTAGCATCTTAAAAATAGCATAAGCTCAGTTCCAGTCTGCTTTGCCAGGTACTGAAAACCGTCTGTGCCCAAGATGCTTTTTAGCCCTGTTTCACCTGGAATGTTTTAGCAGGTGAGGGTCAGGCTGATGATTTGCCTGCAAGGCCTCATGGTGCTTTAGCTGCTTGTTCACAGCATGTGTAGGCATCAAATCTGCAGGCCCAAGTTTAAAGCCAGTTTCAGGCTGTATTGGTACCATCTAAACAGTCTTTTCCATGTTCATGCTCCCCTCCTTGGCTCTCCTGCAGGTTTTTTGCCTGTTCTTCCCATTTAGGTAGGAGTGCTACTCAAAAATCCATATGGGGGGAGGGTTTTAAAAACCAGGTAAGGCAATTCCCTGGTAGCCCAGGTACTTTATTTAAAAGCTGTGGTGATGGAAGCCCTGTTCCAAGTGACACTGTTGTTCCCTTGTAGGTCACCAAGCAGCAAGCAGGAAGAACAGGTGAGTGATACTCCGTCTTGGTTTTGCTCCTGTATATCCAATGAACTAAAATCCATTCCTGATTCCCCCTGGGTGCCTGGCAAAGCACAGCCAGACCCCAGACTGTCACTGGGATGTTACAACACTTGTGTTGTCCTGTTCACTGGGAATTCCTGCCTGTCAGCTCTTGTTTAAGATGCTTAGTTCCCTCCTTGTTGCTGCAGAGCTCTCTCACGGAGTGTGTTGGTTTTGCCTTGGTGTTTAGGAGCAGCTGTTGGGCCCTGGACATGCTGAGATGTGCCAGCTCTGCCAGGAGGAGAGCAGCCGGAACCGAAGAAAGGTAACTTAGGATTGACATGGCCCACACCTGGTGACTGCCTTCCCTCTGGGTTTTGTTTTGGAATCACAGATTCCTGCTGGTGACTTGGACAAAGAAATGAGCCCTTGCAGGCCCCTCTGCCCTTAATATAACCTTGTTAAATACTGGTGGCTCCAGGGTTCCCCTCTGCCCTGTTCAGTGCTTTGTTTTTCCTGCCCCTGAGCAGCTTCTTCCCTTTGAGCTCAGTTTTTTCCCTCAGTTGATCTGCCAAGTCCTGAACCTCTCCTTGATTTCTGTGCTTTTCCTGCATTCCAGAACATCTGCAAGAACTGTGGGGGCACCTTCTGTGAAGCCTGTTCAGCACACGAGCTGCCCCTCCCATCCAGCATCAACCCTGAGCGTGTCTGCAATCCCTGCCACCAGCAGCTCATCCAGCAGTATTCCAGCAGCCCCTTGTAGGGAATGGGTGGCAGAGGGGTGACAACGGTTGTAGCTGATGGTGTTTCTGGAGTTGTTCAAGGGGAACGTGAGGACACTTGCTTGTGTGCTTTGGAGGTTGGAGGGAAGCAGCTTCTTGGTGTTTAGAGTCTCTTGTGACTAAAACAACATTCTGAGCCTTCCCTGTACCAAAATCCAATTGTGCTGTGGAGAACTGCATTGGGAATGTCACATGGAGCAGCCCCAGTGTGTGCTGGAGCAGTCTCAGGGCGCCCCTGCCCAAACCAGAGCTGTGTTTGCATGTGTAAGTTGGGAATGTTCTTGCCCTCACACGTGTGGTGTTGGGCATGTGCTGCTGCTGAGCAAAGGCTCCCTGAAAACCAGCTGGAGCACTGGTATTCCTCATGTCTGGCTGCACTTGAAATCCCATTTCCTTTCCCAGCTGTCTTGGACAGTCTGGCTCATCCCTGGGACCCCGGTACACAGTGTGAGCAGGCCAAGTGAGGCACTAGTTAACATGTTCTACCTGCATTTCCTTGGCTCAGGGCTCTGACCAAGGGCTTGCTCTGCACAGGGAAACCCCAAACCAAGCTGTGAATGTTCTGTTCCCCCTCTGTGCTTTAGGAGATGGGCCAAATTCCCATCATGCTCTGGTTTAGGGCCACTTGGATCCACCTCTCCCCCTTGCGCACATGGAAACATTGTGGCCATAAACCTGGCATTTCACTTTTTGTTGTATCAAAATAATACGGGAACACTTTTCACCTTCTCCCAGTTGTAATTGCAAACACAGTTCAGAGAGGTTTCATGGTTCATTCTTTGTTGCTGTTCCCTCAAGGAATTTTGTTACTCCAAAGAGCGGTGGTGGCTTCCTTGTGTCACAGGAGTGTTCACTCCTTTTCCCACTGGCACCTCCTGCAGTCTCAGACCACAGAATGTTCCACAGTCCATAGCAAATGGATGCATTGATGTGACAAATGCATTGGGGTTTGTACAGATGTTATTAGGGCTTAGTGGTTAATTCCTTGGAGGAGAATTAACCCTAGTTAATAGTAGTCTTTAGAGTGGCTGGAACTGCAGGAAAAGCTTCTCAGAGCTGAGGTTACTGATGTGGTTGGTGCTGGTTTGTACCAGGAATTATTTCTCCTAGTTCCCTCTGGGTCTTGGTGTGTTCAGCCACCAAACTTACATTCTTTTTTGCTCTTTTCCCCACCTGTGGCAGTTTCCCAACCCCTTTCCTTGTTGCTATCCTTTTAAGTAGGACAGGAGTTGTAAACAGTGTTGAGATACAAGAAGCCTGGAATTCAAGTGAATTCCTGAATTCTCTGAAGGGATGACACACTGGAGATGGATGGAGAAAACACTGAATTTAGTGTCAGTAGTTTTCTGTACACACTCTATAGGTCCAAACCAGTAAAATTCTTGCATCCAAGCCCAGTGTGACTCATCCCCCCAGGAGAAGGTGAGACCTAGGCAATTTCCCTTGTAGAGGGAGCATTAAACTGGACACAGAGAATTAAATTCTATGGAGCAGGGAGGTGGCTGAGACCCCTTGAGAGCACAGCACTGGTGGCTGCCAGCTCCCTCTGTGCTCAGGTACTGCGTGTGATGCCAGCGTGGGCTGACACCTGGACACTGGGGTTGGGAAGGGGGGGGCAAGTTTTCTGATGTTAATTTTCTGATGTTAATTTTGTTTCACACAATAAAGAAAACTTGATCACCCACTTCTGGTGTCCTGAGTGGTCCTTCCATCCCATTCCACTTGGGCTGCAGGTCTGAAAGGATTCAGAGCTACACTGTGCACCCGTGTGAGGACTCAGATCACTCAGCTGCTGTCAGTTGTCAGTCCTGGTGTTTATTAATGCACCGTTCTGCACCTGGAGCCCAGGACTGCTCCACCCATTGACCATTCCTGCAGTGCAGCTGCTGCTGCTTTTGTAACACTCCCCACAGTCCAGCACATTTATTACATGCTCCTCTTACACAAGGCTAAACTAGATCTTACAGTTTGTCCTCCTTGCTGAGCGCTGACACTTGTACCCGATGTTCACCCTCATACACAAGGAACGTGTTCACCCGGCCTGATAAAGGGAAGAGGGAAAATAAAAATCATTCTCTTGCTGCAGCTTAGTGCTTTCCTTTCTCCCCCTGCCCTACTGCATTTTATTCCCAGTTTAAATTCTGTTAGAATAGTACAGGTTGGCAGCAGTAAAGTACCACAGACTCCAGGTGGGACATGTCTGGGGGGGCTGCAGCACATGCACAGAGGGTGGCAGATGGTAAATTCCCTCAGTGCATGGGACAACAGGAGGGAGCTGCCAGGGAGGCTGCCCAGGATGCAGGTGGGAGG